GATTTTTTAATAGTTTCATTATCAATTCAACTGATTTTATTACACAGTTTTAGACTGGCTGCTGAGATCATGAATTTCACATTTAGTTTCATTTAATCTGGTCTCATACATTTCTTGGCATGAATTCTGCTGAGACTAGTCATTAAAAAAATGTCAGGTCACGTGATCTGGCTTACTAATCCTTTCACCATATAGCTTTTCACAAGCTAGCAATCTTTCAATCACACAAGCTTTACATCTTTCACAGGTTATGAGACCTGTTTTGTGTAAAATCACTGCCAATTCGGGATTGCTTGTCAATATACTCATTATTTGAACTACTGCTTCATTTGATAGACTCATCAGGAGTTAAAATTGTCTTATTCTATCAGTATTGATGTGTTTGAGATCTTGATGATCAATAATACTACTACTCACTTAAAAAAGAGGCTTGCACAAAATGCATCACATTTGCAAAAAAAAAAGCAAGAAAAGAGAATGATATTGACAAGAATTCAATAAATAAATATCAAGATGGTGAATTCAATACAATCTCACTCACACACACATTTACAATCTCATATTCTTTTCACTGAGTCAGTTGCAGTTGATGATGATGATTCTTCACACTCATGCTCTGTCAGTGAACATTCTTCTGAAGTCTTTGAAAGCTTCATTGTCAAAACACTCTCTCAATTCAAAGCTGGTTTGAATACAGCTTCTGATATGATCAGGCTCGCTCTCTGATCTACTCAACAGCTTAATGAAGCTGATTCTCTTGATGAGAATAATGAACACTCAGATGTCTACTGTTCAGATGAGACAATATCAAATCAACAGATAAAGCATCTCAAGATGACATTTGAGATAGAGAAGAAGAGATGTAGAGTTCTAGAACTCAGACTACAACTGAAAAAACTTCATGAACAGAGATTCTCTACAGATTGATCACAGAATGTTAACAATCATTCTGTTATCATCTTAACAGCTACAATAGCTACAACACACAATCTGAAGATTCTACTCAATACAGCTTACAAAGCAGCTGCAGCAATTTCTTCAGTGACATCAGGTCTACTGACTGCAGTCTGTAAAGAGACTAGACTGACCGCCGGGATCATGAATTTCATGTTTGATCTCATTTGGTCTGGTCCCATACATTTCTTGGCGTGAATCCCACTGGGACTAATCATTAAATAAACATGCAAAGTAACTATATATCAGATCTCAAAATGAAATCATGACTTGAAAAAAATAAGAAAGTGATCTCATTTGATTTCATTTAGTTTCATTCTTGGCATAATATTACTATTTTTAGACATTTTAAGGTTTTTTTTAGACTATTTTTAATTTTTTAAAAAGTAACACTTTTTGATAATACTCAAATGAGATTTAAAGTCATTTAAAGCAATAAAAATAATTTAAATTGAGAAGTGAAAATCATGGTCCCATTTGGAAAATGTGACAAGAGTAGACAGTAAGTCTCACTGGGACAGTATGAGACTACTATCTAATGTTAGAACTGTGTAATGGGATCTGTCGAATTGGCAATGAGACTATCAAAAATTCTGGTCCTGGTCCCAGACACGGTCACACGGTCAGTCTAAAAGAGACTGCAGTGATTTCTGATTCATCAATTGATAATCTATTCATTGATGAGAAAATTCAACCTGAGTGTTCATTATTTCTCATACTCACTAATAATTGATGAATTGACTATGATATCTTCATGAGAATACCTACTCTTTTAGTGCAGAATACACTGAACTTTCTGGAATTCACAGTTGAATCTGATGACTCTTCAACATCTATAAGAGATATCACTATAGTGGGGGAATCAACAGTGGGGAAATCTTCAGTGAGAGACAGTCTTGAAGACCTACTCACTGATCCCGAGATTGCTGTACTTTCAATTCTGAAAAACCTCATGCATGTCAAAGCTTTCATGGAATAAAAGTATTATTACAAGGCCTGTGTTAAAGAGATTAATCATTTGAAATATACACATTGAAAAGAGAATATAAAGAAGATAGAGAGATAGAGGGATAAAAAATGATGTATATCATGACTGGTTTTTCATTACTACACATTTTCCAGGCATTTTTTATACCTGTACTTGATTTGAAGGCGAATTTTGTATATAGCATCGTGTATAGTTACTCTGATGAGTGAGGGTGTCAGGTCACATGATCTGGCTTACTAATCCTTTCATCATATAACTTTTCACAAGCTAGCAACCTTTCAATCACACAAGCTTTACACCTTTCACAGAAAACATGTAAAGTGACTATATATCAGATCTTAAAATGAAATCATGACTTGAAAAAAATAAGAAAGTAGTCTCATTTAATCTCATTTAATCTCATTCTTAACATAAAGTTACTATTTTTAGATATTTTAAGGTTTTTTTTAGACTATTTTTAATTTTTAAAAAAGTAACACTTTTTAATAATACTTAAATGAGATTTAAAGTCATTTAAAGTAATAAAAATAATTTAAATTGAGAAGTGAAAATCATGATCTTATTTGAATAATGTGATAAGAGTAGACAGTAAGTCTCACTGAGACAGTATAAGACTACTATCTAATGTTAAAATCATGTAATGAAATCAGTTGAATTGATAATAAAACTATCAAAAAATCTGGTTCTGATCTCAGACACAGTTACACAGTCAGTCTACACAGTTTTAACAATTGATAGTAGTTTCATACTGTGTCAGTGAGACTTACTGTCTACTCTTATTACATTTTACAAATGAGATTATGATTTTCACTTCTCAATTTAAATTATTTTTATTGCTTTAAATGACTTTGAATCTCATTTATATATTATCAAAAAGCATTACTTTTTAAAAAATTAAAAATAGTCTAAAGAAAATCTCAAAGTGTCTAAAAATAGTAACTTTATACTAAGAATGAAACTAAATGAGATCAAATGAAATCACTTTCTTATTTTTTTCAAGTCATGGTTTCATTTTAAGATCTTATATATAGTCACTTTTAGACTGGCCGCCGGGACCATGAATTTCATGTTTAATCTCATTTGATCTGATCTCATACATTTCTTGATGTGAATCTCACTGAGACTAGCTATCAAAAAAACATGTAAAGTGACTATATATCAGATCTTAAAATAAAACCATGACTTGAAAAAATTGAGAAAGTAATCTCATTTAATTTCATTTAGTTTCATTCTTAGCATAAAGTTACTATTTTTAGACATTTTAAGGTTTTTTTTAGACTATTTTTAATTTTTTAAAAAGTAATACTTTTTGATAACACTCAAATGAGATTTAAAGTCATTTAAAGCTATAAAAATAATTTAAATTGAGAAGTAGAAATCATGATCTCATTTGAAAAATGTGATAAGGGTAGACAGTAAGTCTCACTGAGACAGTATGAGACTACTATCTAATGTTAAAACTGTGTAATGGGATCAGTTGAATTGATAATGAGACTATCAAAAAATCTGGTCCTGGTCTCAGACACGGTCACACGGTCAGTCTAGTCAATTTGCATGTTTTCTTAATGACTAGTTCCAGTGAGATTCATGTCAAGAAATGTATAAGACCAGACTAAATGAAATCAAATGTGAAATTCATGATCCCGGCGGCCAGTTCAGAGAGATAAGTGCAGACAGATTGATAAGCTGCTGAGTCTTCAGAGCTTTCTGAGCTTGCTGAGCTTGCTCTACACTATTATTAGCTGTAATTTCACAATTTCTGAGCTGTTTCTCTTTCAGTTCTCTACTTATATTTAGTCATTTTGACTACTTCAATTGTATTTCAGATGATTTGATGATTAATTGAAGTAAATTATAACATGTTTCAATTACTGACTATATATATTATAGTTCTAAGATCTTTACATAAGCTGTCTGATATTTAATTACATCTTACTTAAAGCTTCTATATTAACTCTACAACACTGCTACAGTGTTATTCATCTTTATTCTATGTAGTTGTTCTCTATTAACAGTTATGAATTACATGGAATTCATCTATACAAGTCATGTGCAGCTGTTCATATTCATGAATATCTCATTACATTCAACCTGAGGGATTAAACAGCATGTTTTTCAAGCTGAATAAGCGAGCGCAAGCGAGTGATTGAGGCTTGTCTATATCATATTTGTTAGAATGTTGAAAATGCAAAAAATAGAATCGCGTCCCACACAAACGGTTAATGGTGGGAAAACTAGTACGAGTACCTAATCCGTGAGCCTAGGCGGGTTCGTGAATGTGAATGGTCTGCAAGACGGGATTGTTGGCGTCGTATCGATGAGCGGCCTTGAGTTTGGATGAAGGAGTCCTGGGGAACATGGCAGCGACGTCGCAAAAGGGTCATATTTTATTGACTGTAGGGCAAGAAAGCGTACTAACGTAGAGATATTTATTTAGCGGAAGTAACGAAACAAATAAAAAGTGAAATTTAATCTGCTAGGTATCTAATTGAGTGATAATATGTATCATAAATCGTCGGCTGGGAGAAGCCCTATTATCAAGCAATTAGTGAGCATGATGTTTCAGAACTAGGCCCAGAACACGAATGGATGTGGGGTGCGTCCTTCGGTAAGTATTCGATTCAACACCGGAGATAAAACTATCAGGCCGGTCCCCAAGGGCTTTTTCGGCAGAAAGGCGCAAAGGGCGTGCACATAAGCGGATGACATGACTGCATCTGGGTCGGTAAAAGTATAGGGCCTTTTGTATCCGCTCTGCCAATGCGTCAGTCCGTTTCTAAAATTGGAGTTTGGCGGTAACCTCGTTTCGCGTTCTTAAACACAGGGATCATGCTTTGGTTCATCAAATAACTGGTCGCCTTCCTACGTCGTGCTGTTAGTAATACACAGATTGGCTTTGGTGAAGGAATATGCGGTATAACGAACAGCGATAGTAGCGTATAACCTTGTTATTCAAATCACATGCCAGTTTGCCCGGTCTCAAAGCGGTTGGTGTTGGAAGGACTCATGGCATCTTGCCCAGCTCTGGGGATATAACTGAAGTCAACACCCTTCGTTTTTAGCGATATTGTTCATACTGGACATCCAATAAAGGACCCAGCATGTCAAAAAAATCCTGTCCACCTGACCACCCAAGCTGATTAGGTCCTAGGCCAGCAAAACTCATCAGAGGATCGTGTTGGAAAGAAATTTGATCGAGAGTTCTAGTTGGAGGATGCATAGGCAAATAGCCGCTCGGTTCGCTAGTTGCCACAGAGACATTTGACGAGCCGCGCGAACTGTAATCTTGTTTTGGCGACATCAAGGGCTCCGTGTTCGCCGAGTCGACAGGAGGGTCGTAAGCGTGATTATTAGCGGTTATGGGAATGTCGGATGTTGCTCTATCTTCAAATTGATTACGTTGTGACGGCGTATTGCCGGCTGTCATATTCCCGCTCTGAGGATGCTCATTTCCTAATGTTCCCATTACGCGACTCCGAAGGCTAGATGCTAATGCGGTGAGAAGTTCACCGAATCGGTTGCTCAAGTGGACGTCGTCCACTACGCATGTACAAAGCGCCTCTGCAGTGCGCTCAACTAACTCCAGTGAGACTATAGTCTCTTCATCCTTGACCCCAAGGGCAAATGCCTAAAGCACTAGACATTAGGATTTTTTAAAACAAAAAGGGCGGAAAATCCACGTCACAGTGAACGAAACACATACCTTCAGGCAGAACATAGCTCCCGCCAGAATCCTTGAATAAGTTCGTATGGGGACATGTCGTAGGCGATTGTTAGGTACGAGATCCTCCACGACGGTCTGCAAAATTGCCCTAGCAGCGAAAACTACTTCCATAAAGTATTCCTTATTTCCTTCGAAGGTATTCAGCACCGATGAAACTCGCATATCCGTACCATCATTGGTACCTCGGCCACGGTGTTCAATAACAGCCTGAAGAGCTACACTATTAATAGACACTCGAACATAGCCATACTCTATTGAAAGTATAGCCCTCATTGGCTTTGATACTGTGTATAGGCAACGTTAGATCGTAATCTGCACGTAGAAAGTGGTACAACTACGGCGAAGCAACTTACGTTTTGCTCGATCAAATTCCACCTGCCACTCTCTAAGCAAGGGATTAAGAACACGAAGAATTGCAAGATATTCGCCGCTTCGAACCATCTCCTTTGTCCGATCTCGAGATGTAAACAGCAGTTCGTTCCCTCGTTTCATGAGAGACGCAACACCTATCCAACATCGAATTGTATCTCCGTGCTTCAGACCAGCCTCATGGTGAGTCACGGAAACGGACGTCAGATTTTTCCACCCTACGTTAGTGAGCAGTCTGTCCACTTTCAATGGTTCGGGCGATATATGGCTTTCTTACCTAGCCTTCCTGATGTCTGGGTGAGATATACCCAAAGTAAATGCTGTACGCGATACGCCCGTTGGCTCGAGGACGGATCATTCCATATGTCTCGGCGAGACTCTCGAGCTCCTATGGTTGTGTTGTCATATTCGTCAAAGATACCAAGCTCAACCGCAAGAGCCAGCGCATTCCCCAGCATGGACCAGCACATACGATCCGATCTCCAAACAGGCTCTAGCCAATCAATCCGAATGCGGCCACCAATCCCCGCGGTACTAGCCCGAGGCCGTCGGACATCATCTTTGACTATTATGCTATCTCCGTCATCGCCTGCTGGGACATTAAGGGAGCGGGGATGCCACTCAGAAAGAAGAAGCAAAGCCTCGCACGTTCCCAGTGTGCGAAGACTTCCAAAGTTCGACCCAGCAAGAGCGGATTCAGAAGCCTGGCCGGAACAATCAGTTGAGGAACCGTTATCATGCGTGGCCCCAGCGAACTGTTCCTGCCCGAAGATCATGCGAGAAATCATTCCTTGTAGATGTTGCCACAGGCGTTCATGGACCATATAAGACCTAGAAATTGATCCGGCACCTGAGAATTTCATATACCGTGAGGCAAGCATCAAGATTGTGACGGCAAGGATGGGTTCTTCTTCCAGCAAAGTTGGATGCGTTGATGGGTCCTGGAAAGAGGAGGAAGAAATAGGCGTAAACGGCGCGAGGTAGGCATGGAAATAATTAACAAGTTCTATGGCTTCTTCTGCAGTAAAAAGGCCCGTTCGAACAAAACGCAAGTTTGACCAGGGCTGGCGAGAATCATCGGTCACGGAGCCGTGCTTACTTGACGATGCTACCGACGGCCTTATGGGACCGCTGGTGGCTGTGGAAGGCCCGGCAGATGCTGTAGTGCCAGGAGGATTTCCCCGGTCCCGTTCGCTATGCCTCCCTGCTTCCCAGAGAAGCTTTAGGGCATCGTGGGAAGTGTAGGCAGCGTCACGAAGGAGGGCTGCCACTGTTTTCTCGCCGCCTGACGAGCTAGCTTGCGGTCCATAGTCACTGGAGGTCATCCGCATTAGGATATCCTGAGGGATTTTGATTTGGCTACCATTACCAATCCCAATCCGTGTTGCAAGTGAGTGGGCAGCTGAATTAAACTCATTAAGGTTGTTGCCATGGGGGCTAGTAACGGGACTTCCAAATGCACTAGGTCTGTCGGACTGAGGCAGATATCCCTCTTCTGGCTGTTGAGTAGTCTGTCGAGAGGTTCCCGCTGCAGTCCCTGCCTTCTTTTTCCCCCTTGTAGCGGAGAAATGGCAAAATTTACGTTCTCGCCGACATCTTCCACAAGGACCATCGTGAGGAGAGTCAACGGATCCCAGGTCGCAGCGAACTCTACGTTCGCGACAGGGAATACAAGCCTATAATGAATGAGTCTACCGAATCCAAAACAGCCGAAGTGTAGTGAGGGTAAAGGAATAATAAGAGAGCAAAAATGATAGCCATATATGCAATCCGGTTTCGGAGGGTCTTACCTGATAAGCCCGCTTGTGGACGCGAGCCGGAGCGGTGGACATGGCCGGTTGGATAGCCGACACTCACTCACTCACTCACACGGAACGCTAAACGATGGAGACTGTTGTGGGAGATGGCAAAGGCGAGGGTTATTCAAGCAGCAAACGCACCAGGCCGAACAACAAACAACAACAGAGGACACGACACCGATAACCAACTGAACCCTCGCTGGCCTTCCGCTTGCTTGCTTACTTGCTGGAATGGCCAAAAAACCTCCTGCATCCGCCGCGTTGGCCGGCGTCCACACGCTCGCAAGTCACGGGACTCCCGTCAACTAGGTTAGTTAACTAATTAGGTAGCTAACGTTTAATGGGAATTCCGTGGCAACTTCTCCGCACGCGGGGGCTTGGCATCAATCGCCCGGCCGAGAGAGCTTTTTTGGGTGAAACCAGACTGCAACATCGGCTCGGGTTGGGAGAATCCGAGAATGAATTATTATGGGATGAACAGCGTGGTCAGCTCAGCGGGTGCTGGGGACAGTGACTGCTAGGTGCTAGGTGCTAGGTGCTAGGGAGGGGGATGGGGCGGGGGGTGGGCAAGAATGTAATAAAATAAAATATATACATACATACATACATACATACACGCATACATACACATACATCGAGCTTGTTTAAGACGACTCAATCTGAATGCCAATTCCTTTCCCTCTCGCGACGTTCAGCAATTCCCTGCCGATAGCAATGTCCATAATCCCCATCCCAACACACTTAAATATCGTGTTTCCCTCCAAAAGCGGCGCCTCTCTCCCCTCGGCTCCTTCGAACGGGAATGGCAATTCGCCCACCTCCACCAGCTCGTCCTGTACATTCGCCTTGATCAACTCCCCAGCCTCTTCCAGGCATGCCTCTTTCGAGGCCACCAGGATCTTGCTCCCCGATAACAGCGTTGCAGAGTCGATCTCCTCCATGTGTGGCTTGTATGATCCAACCAGGGAAATAAATCGGGTCTTATGCTCACTTTGGTCACCATGATGTAGATATGAATCGGGGAATAGCGGCTGAGAAGACGGAGTGCAGCAAAAGATAGCATCGGCTGCTTCAAGGATATTCCGTAATTTGGGGTCGAAATCCGGTTCCTCGTTGGAAATGGAGCTAAATGTAATCTGAGGAAACTGACTTCGGAGCTCTGCTAGGAGTGTTGTGTCAAACTTCACCAAAGTCTCCACGCGCCGGTTCACAATAGTAACGGTCGTGATCTTTGCTGCTCCTAATAGTAGTGACAATCGGATATGCCACTCGGCCTGCTTACCAGCACCGAAAACTACAATATTCGCTTGTTCCGGGAGTCTGTGGTGCAAGAGGACGATCATAGACGCCAACGCTGTCCGGAAGGCGGTAATCTGCAGTGCATTGAGTATTGTGGCGGACATATTGCTTGTGAAAACAGAATTTTCCCAGCCCCCCCTGAAAATTAGTAGCAAAACACCACCAAAAAATCAAAATATTCACATTTCTCTAGAATCATTCAATATCATTCAATACATGTCTTTTTCAATAAATATCATTCAAATACATGTCTTTCTTACCTTTATCATTAATATGTTATCTCAACTCTGTGATTTCATTATCAATAAGATTATACATCTTCTTAAGAATGATTATATATCTGCTGAGATTATACAAAGTATTGATTATTATCTAACTACTGTATATTAAATTCAATGAAATTTTAACTGCTTTGAAACTGTTAGAGAACTCTGTTCAATATATAATATGTAAGAGGTCTACGCTGAATAGATCAGTATAATATTTATAGATCTTATATAACAAAGTGAAAAACATTAGAGAAGAAAAAGAAAGAGAAAGTGTGAAAATCAGTGATTAAAGTGAATATTTATACATGTACACAGTGAAGCTTCAGAGCAGAAGAATAGAAATTCTGTGAGTTTATTAGTCAAGAATTAATAACTGAGAATGAGAGTTATCAGTGAGAATGAAATCTATAAAGTATAATAAAATAGTCTATATAAATAATCAGATACAGTCTGTTATATTAATTCTCTCTTTTCAGAAGTAATATAGAGTTGTGAGTGTGTAGTTCTTATTAGTTAAAAGCTACTGTCTTAGATAACACAGACCTCAGAGTTCAGATTAGATAATTATAACTGACTTATTTTACAAGATATTATTAACTACAGCTGTAGAATCTCTTATCAAGAATATCTTCAATCTCTTATTCAAGTATATTATCTTCTTCTATAATCTCTGACAGCTGTCAGTCAGAAGTTAGTTAAGAAGAGAATAAATCAGTAACAGTATAGTAAAGTAAGCTTATATAAAAGATATTATAAATCTCTGATAATATATTAAAATAGTAATTATAACTATCTAGAACTTCTATTACTTTATACTTAGTATAGTAATAATTCAGTATATAAGATGAGTATATAATTTATATATTCTTAAGATTTAATTATATCAGATTTTCTATCTTATATTACTAAGTAAGATCTTAGTGAATATTAATTTAAGCTTCTTAATTGTGGCGGGCTGCGCCTGATCAATTATATAGACTATTTCATTACACTTCACAGATTTCAATCACTTCATTCTCAATCACTAATCCTCAGCCGCTTCAAATATATACACTTCAATTCTCAGTCATTCTCAATCACTGCTCTGATTCTCAGCCATTCTCAATCACTGATTCTCAGCTGCTATGAACATGTGTATATTCTTTCACTCTGAAGCTTCACTGCGTACATCACTACATATATGTATAAATATTCATCTTGATCACTGATTCTCACACTTTCTCTTTCTTTTCTTCTCTAACATTTTTATCTTTATTATATAAGATCTATTAATATTATACTGATCTATTCAGTGTAGGCCTCTTATATGATAAAAACATTCATTATCTTCTTATTAGAAAATAATTATTCATGCATTATCTTCTCATCAGAAATAATTATTCATTGAGAGATATTCAAATATGTAACAACATATGAGAAACAGTTAAACAGTTAAGTGAACACTGAGTCTTTAAATAGTTCTCAGATAGAAGCTTACTTATCAGTCACTCTGACTCTATAATAAGATCTTATGAAGAGAGTAAGATTTTATAAGAGAATATCAGTGAAAGATCTGAGAGTTCTGACACTCAGATATATAAGATATTCATATAATTACACATCTGATAATTGATATAATCATGTTTAACAAGAATATGAAACTCTTAAACATGAGTATAAATACAATATCACAGTGGCTCTGAGTAATGTTGAAATTACAACAATAATAAATAGCTGATATGCATGCAACTCAATAACTTCAATACAAAGAGATTTAATAATTAACTCATACAATTTCAATATCTACAGAATCAAATACAAAAGTGCTGAAAGAATGCTTAAATACTCTTATATATTTCAATACTTTTAATCTCACTCTCTACTCATCATGAAGAATGGAAATGCTTGCAAAACTGAGTGTAGATGAAGATTTCATCAGTTTATTAATTAATCAAGATTAATATATTAATGAACAATTGAAGAATCATGTGAAATAGAAGTTTTATTCATGAATAAAAGCATGTGAATCAGTGTTATGAACATCTGATAATATTATTCAATATCTTAATATTCTGTTTCAAGACACTGTCATACAATAGAAAGTATTAGATTAATTACAGAGTATCTGACAGAGAAATATTTCTCTTACAACATTTATCTCTGACTTTGATATTAAGATCTTAGAAGCAGATAATCAATCTTGAGAGAATTGAATGAAGATTAATATACTTAAGAAGATATTAACTTTTGAACTCTTACAGACTCTTATAAGGATAAACAAAGACTCAACTTATAAAGACTTCTACACATAGCTTCAGATATTGAATAACTGTTTTATGAAGCTTAAGAGTATATAGAACAGTGATAGAAGATATTACATTTACACATCTGTGCTGATAAATAACTCAGTTACTTATACACCTGCACTGAAGAATAACAATGATGCAGATGTTATGAATTAAGTAGACTTGAATATCTATATATAAGCAAGAGTCTTCACTATTCAAACAGACTTCTGAGTTTCTGAAATCACTTCTGAAGAAGTCACTGATCAATATTAATATGAAGTATACATTAATTATAACTGATTGAGACATATCACTTTCAACTGTTAATCAATCTATATGTCTTCACACTCAAGAGAAAGACTGATACCTTCTTAATTAAGAGAAAGATTAGTATCTTCTTATTTGAAGAATAAATCAGCATCTGTTCACACTAATCACATTGCAGTGAAGAAAGATTCAAAAGATAACTACAAGAATACTCTGATGAAATAGGGAAAAGATTAGCTTCTATTCAAATTTATAAACAGAAGCTTGAAGAGATCAGATAATAATAATTTAAAGAGAAGATAATAAGAAATACAATTCTTATATCTACTGTGATTGATAACATGTATAATATGAAAGTCATGATAGACAGCAGTCTATGTCACTATGCAATGATAAAATCTTCAGTTGTAAGATATTATAATCTGCAGTGTATCTCTCTATCAAAACCCTGACTTCTTGCAGAATTTGATGATTCAAAAGACATTTGTACCTGTTATATAGTGAAGCTGATCATAGATATGAGAGAATATCAACATAAAGATATCTACACATATGAAATTGATAATCTTGATTACAATCTTATATTAAAACTTGCCTGACTATCTGAACAAGATATCTTATTGAACACTTGAAACAGAAGCTTGATATTCTCTAACAATGATAGAATTCATGAAGATAATATTCATAAGACTATGAATCTTACACAGATCTCTGTCAACACTTATAAAATACTCTGAAAAAGAAGTTATTATCAAAATCACTGACAGAGTTATTAACAAGTTTGCTAACAGCAGAATCATGTGTCAATCTATTTCATCAGTCTGGCTGATATCAAAAAGATCTTAGAAAAGTTATTCCATGTTACAATAACAGATTATAAGAACCTTAAATACTTCACTACTACTTATAAACTTACTGAACAACAGATGCAATGATCTGAGTTTCTAAGCTACTTTCATTTTACAATACACTACTGTCTCAGTAGTCAAAACATGATGACAGATACTCTCTTGCAATGAGAACAAGATATGTCATCTAATGTAACAGATACACACTGAATGAACTGAGAACACTGACTCTTAGATTCAAAGATATTGATTGATCAAGATAGAACAACTCATGACACTATATATACTTCTTTAATTAGAACACTCTCTCTCTGCTGTATTATCACTGATTGATTCTCTTCTTAACTGACTTTCAACTGACAACTGCCAGGAATTATAGAAGAAGATAATGAACTTGAGTAAGAGATTGAAGATATTCTCAATGAGAGATCACACAGCTGTGATTAACAATATCTTGTGAAATGAGTTGACTACAATCAACTGACCTGAACTTCAAGTTGTGTGTTATCTCATGCAACAGCTCTTGACTGATGACAACTGCTTCTGGAAAGAGAGGGCTAATGTGGCGGGCTGCGCCTGATCAATTATATAGAATATTCTGTTACACTTCACAGATTCCAATCACTTCATTCTCAATTGCTGATTCTCGGCCGTCATAAATGTGTACACTCTGATTCTCAGCCATTCTCAATCACTACTTCAATTCTCAGCCATTCTCAATCACTGATTCTCAGCTGCTATGAACGCGCGTATATTCTTTCACTCTGAAGCTCCACCACGTACGCCACTACATACGTGTATAAATATTCATCTCAATCACTGATTCTCACACTTTCTCTTTCTTTTCTTCTCTAATGTTTTTATCTTTGTTATATAAGACCTATTAATATTATACTGATCTATTCATTGTAGGCCTCTTACATTAATCTTGTTTAGTATTTATTATAAAGACTTTCACTCAGTCACAGATATATCAGAGCTTTATTACTATATTATCAGTGATCTGAATCAGACTGCAGAGATTCAGTGTAAACTGTGTAATTTCTAGAAAATTTAACATCTTTATATAATAATTATATGTAAGAAAGAATAGACTTATATCTGTTAAAATAACATCTTAATTATTAATAGTAATCTCTGTTTATAGAAGAAGATTATACTAATTATTCTATAAATAATTATAAAATTTATAAAGATAGTTCTTTATAGTCTGAATTATTTATTCTAATATATTATTAATCTCAGAGTGATAAATAGTTAATAAATAGTATATAATCTTAAGAACTTTACAGATTCTTATTCAGAGAGTACTTATAAATTAATAGTCTTAATTCAATATTATAGATCTCAGTAATTTATATATCTAATAGAATAGACTCTGTAGAAAAACTTCAGTGACTTATTCAGTATTTATTTTATTATAAGATTTCAATATTATAGCTTTGCTTAAATA